TGGTTGCTTTCTTGGTTTAGGGTTTGGGGTCTGAGGGCTGTGTTGGTGCTTCCTTACTGGGGTTTCGAGGCCTACGGTAAGGATTTATCGTTGTTTTCTCGGCTCAGGGCTAAGAAGGTTCTTCGTTGCGAGCTTCTTTTGCTGAAGTCCGGCCTTTGATTTCAATTTGGGTCCATTTGTAGGTCCCAAGAATAGTACGGCACCCTTAAAGGAGACCCTTTTATAGTACCTTCTATGAAGCACTGTGCCTGGAGTCATCCCTGTAATGTACATGAACCCTACAGGGTCCATGTACCCAAATAGCCTTAATCTGCCTAGATACGGACTACTTAAGGCCAAAGCATACATTATTTGGGTACATGGACCCCATGGGGGCAGGGTCCTACTCTAAGTATTAAGGCCCCTAATATAGAACCCTATTATTTCTATCCCCTATAGAACCCTTTAAGGATCCCTTTAAGGGAACCCCTATTCTAAGTATTAAGGCCCCTCTATTACCGGCGTCGCCGGCCTCCTGTCGCTCTTGGAAGGTAGCGGACGGCCCGAGAACAAGGCCCTGCAAGGCTCGAAAGTTTCAGGGTTTAGGTCCTCGAGGCTTCAGGGCTTCAGGGCTTTTGGGTTTTGGGCTTTAGGGTTTTAGGGTTTCGGGGTTCAGGGCCTTGAGGCTTCAGGGCTTCAGGGGTTTTGGGGTTTTGGGTTTTAGGGTTTAGGGGTTTAGGGTTTCGGGGTTCAGGGCCTTAAGGCTTCAGGGCTTTTGGGGTTCAGGGTTCAGGGTTTAGGGTTGTTTAGGGTTTAGGGTGTGCGCGTTTTCAGAGTTCAGGGTTTCAGGGCGGTGTCGTGTTTCAGGTTGAGGGTGTCAGGGGTTTCGAGTCGAGGTTTTTCTGTCAGACGCCTAAACCCTAAACCCTAAACCCTAAACCCTAAACCCTAAAGCATGAACGTTGGGTCACCATGGAAGCTCCAGGGCTCCGCGCACCCGAAACCTGAAATTCTACTTGGAGGTTCATGGGTAGTTATAAGTGGAGTTCTCAGTCCCCTAATAAAGCTTATAACTATAGCTATCCTACTTATAACCCTACTTATAACCACCTATGAACCTCCAACTATGACCCTTTATAGAGCCTTATATCTACCCCTGAACCTCCAAGTATCGGCTCGGGACTTTTGGGTTTGAGCTTCGGTGGCTTGGAATTTCCGGTTCCGGGGGGTGTTAGGCTTTAGGTTTAGGATTTATGGGTTTGGGGTTCGGGGTTTAGGGTTTAGGGTTTAGTTTAGGGGTTTAGGTTTTAGGGGATTAGGGTGTAGGGGTTTATAGGCTCAAAGGTTCAGGGTACTAAAGCCTCAACTCCAGACCCTAAACCCTAAACCCTAAACCCACAAAACCCCAACACTCCTAAAACGCCAAACCCTGAGCCCGACACTTCCAGGCAGAGTTTAGGGTTTAGGGTTTAGGGGTTTAGGGTTTAGGGTTTAGTCTTGGGCTCTTGGGTCTTAAACATCCAACAATACACTCTCCAGGATCCTGAACCTCCGATTCAAGGTAGGGTTTCTGGGCTTATAGGGCTTAGGGTTATACGGTGTATCATTTAGGGCTTATAGGGTTTAGGGTTATAGGGGTATATCGTTTAGAGCTTATGGGGTTTAGGGTTATAGGGTATATCGTTTGACTTTACAGTTTTGGAGTCTCTGGGAAGCTCTCCCCAAGGCTTTTCTAAGCTCGAGACCCTAAACCCTAAAGCCTACACCCTAAACCCCAAACCCCTGTGTAGCCCTTCCGGTTTAGGATTTCGGGTGGAGGGCTTAGGGTTTATCGGGTGTAGGACCCTAAACCCTAAACCGAGGGTTTAGAGTTTAGGGTTTATCGGGTGTAAGGTCCAAAGTCCATGGTCTTCGGTCCTTTGTGGGGCTTATGAGGTCTATAGGGTATAGGATTTATGGGTTCAGGGTTCAAGGGCTTAGGATTTTAAGGGCTCAGGGTTCAAAGGTTTAGGATTTATGGGATCAGGGTTCAAAGGTTTAGGACTTATGGGCTTAGGGTTCAAGGGTTTAGGATTCATGGGCTTGAAAACCCTAAACCCTAAACCCTAAACCCCAAACCCTAAACCCTAAACCCTAAACCGGATCTTGACTTCGGATGCCTGGCTCCTCCGGGTCGACGTTGTGGAGACCGTGGATTTCGACCTGGGTCTTCGGGCTCATGACTCCCCACGCCCCCTAACCCTAAGCCTGGTATAAAAAGGAGCCTAGAAGAGGGTTTAGGCTTTAGGGTTTAGGGTTTAGGGTTTAGGGTTTAGGGAATAGAAGGGACTCTAGTTTAGAGAGCTACCCACATGTTGTAGGGATTGGGGTTCCCGATTGTACGAGCCTGATTAAGAAACCTTGGGTCTTTATTATTCGAGTTCTGTATATGAAACTTAATCTTGTGGGGCTGTAGGGGCAGGGTTTCGTAATCAGGTTCCTACATTAGGCCCTAAGCTCTACAACATGTGGATAATTCTAAACAATTTTTGGGATCCTTTTTGCGTAATATAGAGAGCTACCCCTCTGTTAGTCAAGCCAGGCTCTTCTGATTCTTGCGCCCAGCAATGTTAAAAAACAAACACAAACTCTGCTTTCCATCTCTGAGGGCACAGCGCGTTGGAGCTTGTCATGCTTGCGCGGCCTTTATCCTGCTTTGCGTTGAGGGATTCTGCGGGTTGGAGAAACAGAAGAGGTGGGCAAGGGTTGTTTGTTGCGACGGCTTGCAGGTCCAAGCTTTGGGGTTAAAACCTTTAAAACCTAAACCATGAAAGCCTAAGTTCGGAACCCTAAACTAAACCCCATGCTGGAACCCTAAACCCTTATCTTTCAGCCCCAACAAAACCCACCAAACGCCCACAGCCGTCTGAATTCGCCGGGCGCTCCCTCGACTCCAGGAGGGTTGGCCGCTGCACCTCCTAGGACGCGAGATTGCCACAGTTGTTTGCAGCTAAGAAGTATCCGAGCCAGTGCTGAATCTTAAGACAACCACGATAACTAGTAGTAACTTAGTAGTAGATATTGCAATCCTAGCAGAGATCACTAGAAGGTCAGGATGACATCTTATACTCCTTTCGCAGTTGTATCATAATCCTACGTGTTAGAAGGCGAATGAATGGAAGAACGATGGGTTTGCAATCCTGGTGCTTGTCTGCGGATTTGGGAAGCCGTTTGCCAGTTCGGGCATATCCGAGTGCCGTGCGGTGCGTTGTGAGGTCATGCTGCCATGGCTTTCGCTGCGCGGCCGCGATGGACTTGTTACTAATGTTAAGCTTGAGGGTTAGCATGTGGGTGGTTGTCAAAATTAGGGTCCCTTTTGGGTCCTTGTTATAATACGGCACCTATTATTTAGGGTACCCCAAAAGGGACCATAATTTTGACAACTACCCATGTAACGAAATTGGGGAACTTATCTGCTTTCAAGAGATACTTGTTTGCAAGTACATTAGAGTTCTGGTATGGCTCGATGCTTGATGTCAATGTTGCTGAAAATGTCTTGATCTGATTCTGTGTAGTACGGACTTACGACTGCGAGCTGCAACAACAAAGACCAGCCAGCCTGCAGACATCAACGAAGCCGCACTGAATGCTGAATTGCACTTCCTGTCCAACACCTGAACACGTTGGAAGAGAGATTGTACTGCATGGAACTGAAGCAAGGTATGCAATGAAGTCTTGCGGTTGACACGCTGTCGAGAACCATCCCACATAGCAGGGCGGCTTAGGAACAGCATCAGACGGGCAGTTCCAGCAGCTCAAGTCGACTCCCAGCAAACCACTGCAGCAAAGCCGCCAAAGCCGTTAGGACCAAGGCCCTCCTGTCGTTCACGAAACATGAGATGATCACGAGCCGCACCCCGACATCCATGCAAACCCGACCTTCTTAACATCCCTCTCCTGCTGGGCGTGGAATTTGGAAGGATCGCCGGGCTTGAATACCGAAAACCACCAAGATTCAAAAGTCCCTTTTCTTCGTCGCTGGCACCGAAGATGCCGTGAAGCCAACTCCGGTAGTAGCGTGCGCCCTTCTGCTCAGAGGGGGCCTGGGAGCCGTCTTTGGGAGCTTATGACTTTGTTGGTCGTTTTTTTCTGGCTCCCTGTTGGGACAAAAAGAAGAAAGGCTCGTTAAGGCTTTCAAAGAGAAGGTGCTAAAGTTCTCATGATGTTAATCCTGCAATAGCTGAAGGACCCTCAACTATAGAAATGATGGTATACTCCTTCTTTTGGTTAATGCAGGATTTATGACATCGGCCGTAATTGTGACACACTGTCTGCTGTACCACCTTAATCTCAGGGGCTGAGTACCCTAGCCCAAAAAGCTCAACCTTTTCGATTGTGGTAGGATTATATAAACCCAAAAGGTTAAAGGTTACCTACTCACCCACTAAGTAATTAACCGTGATTGTTCTGGACCCCCGCTTACAACCTTCCCCGTAGAAGACCTCAGCCCTGCACGCAAATCCTTAAACCATACACCCTCCGACGTGCGCCCCGTTGAAAACGCCCTTTTTCCCTGCTCCCCGAGACTCCAATATCCCTTAAATCAGGAATATACCTTAAATTATAGTAGGATCCCTTATATGATTTAGGTTATATTCCTTAATTAAGGGATAGCCGAAGCATGTGCCTTATAGTGCGACGGCTGCCAAGACTGAAAGGTCGAGAACGTATGATTGGGAGTTCGGATTCGGGGGACCCTTGGGGATATGATCCCCCTCAAGAAGGCCCCCTTTTTAAGAGAGCCATAAGTAGGGTTAAGAAGGGTCCCCTTTAAGGGGTCTCCCGAAAACCCTACCTAGGAGTGATATTGATGCCTCGAACCCAGAGTCCTAAAACCCCAAACCCTAAACTCCCAAGCAGCCTAAACCCTAAACCCTAAACCCTAAACCCTAAACCCTAAACCCTAAACCCTGAACCCTGAACCCTGAACCCTAAACCCAACCCGACGAGTCTCCCCCAGACTTACTTGGCAGCCAGGAGGCATAGCCGAAGACGATGGCCAGATTCGGCTCCTATGACAAGGCAAGGTTTAGGGCTTATAGGGCTTAGGGTTTAGGGTTTAGGGTTTAGCCTAAACCCTAAAGCCCTAAACCCTAAACCCCTAAACCCTAAACCCTAAACGGCTTCAGGGCTTCAGAGATTTAAGGGTCCGGAGCTTAAGAGGTTTCGGTTCAACGCTTTCTTAGAGGATCGTGGGACGTAGTAAGGTGATAAGTGCCCTAATGGGGGTTATAAGTACCTATAGGTATAGTTGCCTTACTGAGAACCTTGCTTATCCTGATCCTTTAAGTCGGGTGCAGAGGCAGAGCGTTCAAGAGTTGAGGATTTACTTAAAGGGTGAGGGGACCTGGTATAGGTTAGGATAGGAACCTTAACTGGGCATGCTAGCCACCTTACTTTGTCATGCTGCTTATTATGTCCCCCTGGATCCTTGAAGTAAGTATGGTCCCTAAGCCCTAAACCCACAGGGGTGTTTGCTTCATGGGCTCATGGTGTTGGGTTTCGGGTTCGGGGCTTCTGAGGTCTTTTGACAGTCTTCGTTCGGGGATTTCGGCCTGAGGGTGTAGGGCCGCAGCACTTGGGCTTTAAATTTTCCTAACGTAGGGGCCTGACTGATTAGAATATGGGTTTGGACTGATTAGAATATTGGTTTGGGCTCCTTTATAGTATAGTTATAATGTATAATAAGGAGCCTAAGGAACAAAATAGGTAATCATTTAGGCTTCTATAATACGGGTGCAATGTTTGAAGATGCGTGGCGGCTTCACAGGACAATCACCAAAGGCGGATGGACCTTCGATGGACGGAAGCTATCAAGTATAACCAAACTCTAGAGTTTTGGACGTGGTGTGCTTCAACTTCTGATTTTCGGGTTGAGGGTTCAGGGTATTTTTTAGCCCCGTCCTGCCCCCCCCTCCCAACACCCAACATCTCTGCACTATCGTTGGCGGAAGGAAAGCACCGGGCACTTCTTACTGGTTGGACCTGAGCATCGACACCCTGTAAAACTTACGAACCTGAGACCTAAACCCTAAACCCTAAACCTCCCTGTATCCGAAACCTACGAACCTGAGACACAGAGTTAAATTAAATGGAGCCCTACTTGGAGGTTCATGGCTAGTGATAAGTGGAGTTATAAGTCCCCCAATAGAGGTCTTGTAACCCTACTTATAACTACCCATGAACCTCCCAGTACGAACCTGAGACACAGAGTTAAATGGAGCTCTAAACCCTAAACCCTAAACCCTAAACCCTAAACCCTAAGCCCAACCTCCAAGTCCCTAGTCATCCAGCTTCCTCGTGGTAACTGTACTCAATCTGAACAAGCAGACCCAAGAATGAAAAGGGGATACTGTAGGGGCCTTAATAATTCGAATAGGGTTTAGGGGTACATCATACTATAATACTAGGGCACCCCGCAAAACAGTATAGGTAATTATTACGGTTCCAATTATTAAGGCCCCTACCCTAAATCCTTATTATAGAAGCCCTTATAGTAACCCTCTAAAGGACCCCTTTAAAGGAACCCTATTCTAATTCTTGAGGCCCCTACATTAAGAGTACTACTGGGTCTAGACCACACGCCAGACATGCGAAAGCAAACCTCACCCGAGATCCAGAAATCCAAGCGAGCCCATTCTTACCATGAACCCTAAACCCTAAACCCTAAACCCTAAACCCCTAAACCCTAAACCCTAAACCCCTAAACCCTAAACCCCTAAAGCCTAAATCCAAGCGAGCCCGTGAGCCTCAGAGCCGACGACAGCGTGCCACCAACCCGCTGGCAGATAAAGGCCCTCCCCTGCACACATCGCTGGAGGTTTAGGGTTTAGGGTTTAGGGCTGATAGGGTCTAGGGTTTAGGGTTTTAGGGTTTAGGGTTTTAGAGTTTTAGAGTTTTAGGGATTTAGGGTTTTAGGGTTTTAGGGTTTAGGGTTTCGGGATTAGGGATGAGGGGTTTAAGGTATACAGGGGCCCCGAGAAACCTCCCTTTAGGTTCTGATTGTGAGTTTTTTATATAAGTCCTTGAAAAGGTAGGTTAATTGAGGTTCAGGTATGTAATAAATTCAGAGCAGAAGCAGCAGGAGCGCAGTGCATGTTTGTGTGTTGAAATGTGTCGCCAAATCAGCTTAAAAGAAACAGAAACGTCCCTAGAGCCCCAAAACTCATCTGTTCCAGCCACGGAGCTTCGCTCCTTACTTACAACACCTCGAAGCCCGTATCAAATCAACCCTTTTTCGAGCAAAAAACCCTAAACCCCTAAACCCTAAACCCTAAATCCTAAACCCAACCCTTTTCGAGCAAAAAAACCCTAGTAATGCTTCATAAAGCCGTTTGCCGTAGGCCTTGGAACAAGTCGCACGGCGCTCCGCCCGGGTGGTTCTTCCAACCCAAAGCTCCCAGCCCAGAGTTGTGGCTTTATTATTTGGGGACCCTGAAGCTTCATCTCAATAATAGAAGTTCACGCCTTAGGGTTCACGGTCTAGGGTTTAGGGTTTGGGGTTTAATATAAGGGCCTTAATAGTCAGAATAGGGTTCTGGGGCCATTAAATTATACTATAAGTATAATAAGGACCCCCCCAAAAATCCCCAAAATAATATAGGGGTAATGGATAAGCCCCCTACAGTATCGATTTGTTTTTGGTTTGGAGGGGCTATAGGGTTTAAGGCAGGAGACCGCAGGAAGGGATATGGGTCCTTCCAAACCCGGCGAATGCTAGAAGGCTCATGAGATGGACGTCTAAATTCTTGCACTCTCCCCCCTCAGGGTTTAGGGCTTAGGGTAAACCCAAAACCCTAAACCCTCCCCTTCCAAACTGTAAGAACCCCCAGAGGCATTTTCGCCTGCACGCAGCTCCACGTCGAGCGGAGCAGGGCAACCTGGTCGTGGGGATGTCCTCCAGCGAGAGAAGCTAAGATTGCACTGCGAGACCCGAGAGTACCCTAAAGCCCTCTCCTGATGGGTTTAGGAGTTAGGGTTTGGGGTTTAGGGTTTAGGCTTTATGGTTTGGGGTTTAGGGTTTTGGGCTCCATTATACTTGATATAATTCCTGCAATACCTTAAGGACCCTAAACTATGGGAATTATGGTATATTCGTTATTATGGGTAATGCAGGATTTATACCATCAAAAGTATCAAGCCCCAAACCCTTAACTTCTAAAGCTTGAACCGACCGACGGCCCTTCTCTTTCCGTCACTTACCGGAACTACTTGTTCTTCCGGTGCCTTCTGTACTGTTGATGGGCCAAAGTCCTGCACTGTTCCCTGATAACTCATAACGGTCATAACGAATATGCCACATAGCTGAGGGTACTTCTGTTTATGCAGGATTCTCTCCATCATCAGTAGCACTTCTTTTGGACATCTTTTCATTTGTTTTCTTCTCCAACTTTCGGGATGTGGACTTGGCGTCTATACAAGAGGCCTCGGTTCTTAACCCTAAACCCTAAACCATAGACCCTAAACCCTAAACCCTAGACCCTAAACCCTAAACCCACAGTTCTCCGGTTCTGAAGATCTCCGCTTGCAACCCTGCAGCCCGAACTCTGTACAGCATGAAAACCCCTAAACCTGATCCAAGAAAAGTGGCTCATGTCAACGATCTTCCGTCTAAGCCTCCCAAAAAGACGGCATCTCCCTTACTAATTTACATATATATATATATA